AGTTTCATTATTTTTTTTCCTTTCTTCGCTGGTTCTATTCTATTTTCGGGTTGGGTCGGATTAAGTGGCCTGTTTCGGGAAAATCAGATTAGATGCGGATCTTGTCTGATCGAGATTCCGTACGTGATTGGCCAGACACGTTCTCGACAAAGTCATTGGAATCCCGCCCAGAACCGCGGGACTCATGTCCCACGGATGGCAAGCAAATCCTCTAGGGTATTACTCAATGATTCTGCTCGGGGTATGCCGGGATACTCCAAGTACTCGTACCACCATCGGACTGGAACCCTAACACTCCACTCGACTGTCCTAGGCACCTTGCTCAGGTCACTCCGGCTAGGATCGGATTGGATCTGATAAGTTCGTACTGGCGCCAAGAGGCAGAATACACGAAATTCGGTAAGGGGTGTCGCCCTCTCCAATGTCTAGTGGACCAGAATTGTGGAACATCACCCATGTCGCATCTGATAAGATCAAAATGATCTACTGTATTCGGGCTGGCTGGTTGCCGAGCCAGACATCTTCCCCCTTGATCGTTGGCGGGCCTTGCTCATAGCACAGTATATTATACTTTGTACAGCCAGGATTTTCACATTTCGTGGCCCTTTTTGCCTTTCCCCTCCTTTCCTTACTTTGCGCCCTCCCTGCCTAGTTTTTCCCTCAAGATGCCCTCCAACGACGGCGTGCTGGCAGTTGCCCGCTCCTTTCGAGTTCTCGTTATCGGTGGCTCCTATGGAGGTCTCTCGGCTGCTCTGAATCTCTGGGATCTCTCGCGAGGTCGCCTGCCTCGCTTCAACTATGCCTACGAGGGCCCACCCCCAGCACACCGGATTCCCATTCAAACCACCATTGTGGATGAGCGCGACGGATACTGTATGCAAACGCGAACTGCTGGTAAACGAATTATGGCATCTTGCTAACGCGGTCGTCCCAGACCATCTCATCGGGACTCCCAAGTCTCTGGCTTGCGAAAAAATGGCCACCGAGTCATGGACTCGATTCCAAGATATTCCCGCACTCAAGTCTCCAAATTTCAAAATCATCCAAGGCAGCGTCAGCAAGGTAGATTGTGCCGCCAAGGTCGCCCACATCACAGATACGACGACTAAGTCAACTATCACCGAGCCCTATGACTATCTCATCGTGGCTTCCGGCCTGCGCCGAGAGTATCCCACCGTTCCTGAGTCTCTGCAACGGGATGATTTCCTCGAGGAGGCCAGGAAACACGCCGAGAATGTTCGAAATGCCCAAGGGGTTGTGATTGTCGGTGGAGGTGCGCGTTTTTCTTCCGGTATCATTTTTAATTTTGCCTTTTCTGATTAACCTAACTCTTCGATCGTGGAACCACAGGCGCAGTTGGAGTGGAAATGGCTGCAGAGCTGAAAATGCTTGAGCCACAGCAGAAAGTGACCCTGATTCATTCCCGGAGTCGGCTACTCTCCTCCGAGCCATTGCCCGATGAGGTTGCAAAGCGTGTTTGCTCTATTCTGCAGGAGGAAGGTGTTGAAGTGATACTGGGCCAGCGGGTGATTGACACCACCGCGGTTGATGCGGAAGCTGGCCAGCGAATGTGGCGCTTGACACTGGGTGATAGGCAGCAGATCATGACAGGCCATGTATTGAGCGCCATTTCGCGATGCGTTCCCACATCCACGTATCTACCAGCGCAGACCTTGGACAAGGAAGGTTATGTGAAGGTCCATTCATCGTAAGTCGCGTCTGAACTTTCTCCATCCGTACCTCTTTTGAGATAGTCGACTCACACGCTACCAGATTGCAATTTTCGGGAGATATCCCCAATTCAGAGCATCATTATGCCGTCGGGGATCTTGCGGCTTGGCCCGGTATTAAACGCTGTGGAGGCGCAATGCACATGGGCCATTATGCAGCGCTGAATATTCATCAACAGATGCTGGCTGAGTGTAGTGGAGAGAAGCCCAGCTTGACGACCCTCAATCCTTCCCCCGCCGTAATTGGATTGGCCCTAGGAACGAAGGCTGTCTCGTATACACCAGACGAGGGTACACGACATGGAGAGGAGCTCCTGGTTAGCTTGTTTGGAGAGGACATGGCCAACACCAGTAAGTTTACTGAGACAATCCCATCTGTGCAGGCTATCTGAGCCCCGATGATGGCTAACTTTGAAGCTCAGGCTGTCGTAATTATTTGAAATTGTCCGAGCCGTGCCAGGCGTGATAACTATCTGCCCGAGTGTGCAGTCGACGCGCTAACATCCACAGGTGGATTGGACCATGCTTTATGGGAGTTTGAAGTTCTTTGCTCTGAGTACAGCGTACTTTCCGAAATTGGCAGGAAGGTCGGAGTCTCTTTTAGGACGGGTCACTTGTGCAATGTCACGGTATCCGATATAGACTGATTTTTACTGAGTCCGGAATCAATGCGTTTGGCTTCCACGATGTCACCTCTCTAATGAATAGCGAAGGAATACCTCCGCTCCGTGTCATGTATTGAGTGTTGGACTGGAATGCGGATACTGCCAACAGCTCACACAGTAGGAGGTGTGTCTGCCGAAGCGATCAATCGCACCCAGTTGGAAGCCCCGGCAAGAGAGACAAACTACATAGAAGTTGCCATTCATGACGACATGAGCTCCAGGGCCATAACGTGCCTTGCCACTGCGAGGTTTCAGTCCACAGTCGACGCAGAAGCGCTTGCTACTATCCCGGCCTTCTCGGCTCCGGCGCCGCCGTAGCATGCTCTCTCCAAACTGACTTGCCGGGCGCAGCCGAAGACAGTAGCGACACGCGTAGACATCGCGTAGACGGGCCCAGTCGGTTGATTCGATGAGTAGCAGTTCCTGATGTGATGGCTTGGGGATCAAATCGTAAAAGTAGGCACAGGTCAGCCTGAAGTGGAGCAGATCGTCGAGAGGGAGAAAGGAGGTAATCAAGACATGCAGTTCAGGGGGGAGCCGAAAGACTGGGGGCATTGATTGGGGTTAAATGGGGAGATCATGTCTCCGTGGAGGATTTGAGTTATATGGTGGATGGGCGAGTTGGAGATGGGCAGACTTGAAGATGACGAGGTTCCCAGGAAGGTGAGTTGGGCGGTTGTGGTAATAATACCATGGTTACCATACATAGACTGGGGTGAACTGTAAGCACTTTGTGTGATTATGGTCCATAAAGTACCGTCATGGTATGTATCGGACTGACGGTTGACAGTAAATCCGTTTGTATGTATCTTTTTTCGTGGATTCAATGGATTTTGTTCCGTTTGGTATTCACGATAGTGAGAATAGTGCATATCTGTTCCAACTTGAGTCCACTCTGCGTCCACTCTATTGGCTATCATAGGTCATTCAGGCCGTTGCAGACCCTGGTTCCTGGAACTACTCCTGGAACTACTATTTAAGCTGCTTATGCTTACGATGACGCTGACGCCAAGACCAGGTGGTTGTTTGCTATTCGACGACCATTGAACAAAGGACCATGATCCCGGGCTCATTGTTGACTTTCTCTCTCTTGTACAACCTGACATCCTTCTACTTTTCTCTCGTGGCACCCCAATGCATGCTCCTCCTCCCCCTTAAGAACCCCACTTGCCACGGAATTCATTCCCTGCGGATTAGCAATCCGTTTCCACCTGTTTCCACCCCACCTCCATTGGCCAGCAGTGCAACGTGTTGAAAATGATCAGCATTATTAATCCAGATTCCAGGGGGAAATCCTCCATAGGGATTAAAGTCGGTCAGGAGCGGGAAGGCGGGGCAGGGTTCTACAGGGGACGTCTTTAAATCGGGATTTACCTCCTTCCTGGAACCTGGAACCGTGGCTTGACTTTATACCCTTCTGCAGAACTTCGCACCTCATTCTCCTCCACTATGGCACCATTCGGCACGATTTACTCGTACATGCCCAGCCCTCGGGTCATGAAGGTACTGTACCTTTTGCTTTGTCTCTATTTGTCCCCTTGCGAACCTTATCAGTGGCGCGGCTTGGCTAACACCTTTCGACATGACAGGCCCAGGCTGCGGCTAATGTGAATGGCTTGGAGCTGACCATCTTCCCCGACTTCGCCATGGGCAAGACCAACAAGACCGAGGACTTCCTCTCCAAGTTCCCTCTTGGCAAGGTCCCCGCCTTCGAGGGTGCCGACGGTACCAACCTCTTCGAGTCCGACGCTATTGCCCAGTACATCGCCGAGAGTGGTCCCGCCAGCGCCCAACTACTCGGTGCCACCCCTGCCGAGCGCGCGACCATCCGCCAGTGGATCAGCTTTGCCCAGGGTGAGATCCTGGACCCCGTCACCCAGTTGGCCCTGTGGCGTCTGAAGATGCGCCCCTACGACGAGGCCACTGAGAACAACAACCTGCAGCGCCTGGAGCGTTCGCTGGGCTGTCTCGAGACCCACCTGAAGGGCCGTTCCTGGTTCGCCAGCGAGGAGAAGATCAGCATGGCTGATATTACCGTTGCGTCCGCTCTGGTCTGGGGTTTCTCCATGTCCATCGATGCGGAGATGCGGGAGAAGTTCCCTCTCACTGTGGCCTGGTATGAGCGTGTTATTCAGGCTGAAGGTGTGAAGCAGGCCTTTGGAGAGAAGAACTTCGTTGAGAAGCGCCAGCCCTACCAGGGCTAAATTGGTGTTTTCTCGAGGATTCAAGACATGATAAACACCCTTAAAAAGTACTAAATAATGACGAATGAAATATCCACTGATCATGACTGTGCAGAATAATGATGTCTTGATAAATGAGCAAGACAATACTAGTGAAATGTAAATACTACAGGTCCTGAAATCGAATTGCGAAAAATTGAAGTGTTAAAACCTTCGATACGGAAAAAGCACTACATGAGTTGCTTCGTTACGCTTCGTAATATGTACGACATTGGATGATACATGCTTGCACATCATAGGATCACAGATGGCGAAACTGTCCAGGGTAACTTTGTACAGAGAATCTTTCAACATGAACATGAGAAGGGATATGGGTATAAAGGTATAGAATCAAGATATGAGTATATATAGCCTGCTCTCTCTCACAGGCGAGCCATACCGTTCCGCTCGCTTCGAGGCTTACCCAATGCCCGAGCGACATTTCGGCTGGCCCAATCGGCAATAGCCATGTTGGTGACCATCGGGTTAACACCACTGGCGCTGGGGAAGACCGACGCATCAACAACGTACAAGCCATCTGTTCCCCAAACTTGGCAGTCCGGGTCCACCACGCTAGTCTTGGGAGTCTTGCCCATGCGACACGTTCCCATCTGATGCGCACTGGCGAACAGGCCCCGTTCGGGGTTCAAGGGGGACTTGCGACGCAGCTCGGCGATCCAATTCTGCAGAGCAACATCATTGGTGCCCTCTGGAGCATCCGGGTTCGACGCGTCAGGGCGGATGAAAGGCGGGATATCACGATAAGTCGTGTGGAACTCCTTCGCACCGGAGATATAGGCGATCTTCGCGGCGGCGATGATGCCCTCCACGATATGGCGCCGATCGAAGGGCGAGACGGTATAATCAATACGAGGCCGACCATCCACCGGGTCGGGGAAGACCCGACCACCATCACGGTCCTTGGTCAACGTGATGAAGCTGGTGCTGCGACTCATGCCCGCAGCCCAGAGCTTATAGTCCAGACCGTCTCGCCAGGGGAAGACCGGAATATATACGGATGGCATCATCGACACGGCTTCAATCTTCACGCCGTGACCGTGTCCATCCAGGTCCTCGAACTCGTTGACCACGGTTGTCAACGCGCCACCTTCCCACGGGCGAACAGAGTCGTCAAATACGGCACCACCGCCCATGACTGTTCAAAAACATGAGTTTGAGAGATATACCAGAGGTATGATGGACCTGGCTTACCTGGATGCAAATGCAAATTCTTTCCAATCTGAGAATTCTTGATGCCACTCCGCAGCAGCAAAAGAGGGCTCTGCAAGGTACCCGACGAGACCACCACCTTCTTCGCCTTGATGATCAACTTGCGTTGCACGGCGCCATCGCCACTGATGCCGAGATACGAATCGCGCGAAGTCCAAGTACCTTCCACACCGACCGCAACCCGCTTCCCATTTTGGGTCTTCCCGTCAAATTTCACCTTATCCGCCTTGAATCCTTCGATGAAGACTGCACCCGCCTTGGCTGCGTCGGCGAGGAATGTCTCCGTGGGGCCTTTCTTACCGGCCGAATGGCAGCCCAGCGTGCAGTAGCCGCAATAGTGCTCGCTGTTGCCGGTATTCTGCGGCACTGCCTTGGCCGCATAGCCGAGCTTGCGTGCGCCTTCCAAGATGACGTTGTTCTGTCGGTTGTGCTCAACATGCTCGATGTTGACTCCCATCCGGTCACAGACACGGTCCAAACTTCGCTGGAACTCGAGTGAGGTGAAGAAGGGCAGGCCAGTATCGGCCCATTCTTGACGAACATATGCCTGCGTCTGAAGGGCAGCAGACCAGTTGACCGTACCACCACCGCCCCACGTTGAGCCTGCCAGGACAGCCATCGTTCCATCCTCACTAATAGTGGCTCCCGCGTTCTCAAACATATTCACATATGCCTCGTTCGGCGTCATGGGGAACGACTTGCTGGAGTAAGAGTATGACTTTTCAACTACGAGCACTCGAAGACCGGCCTCGGCCAGGTTCTTTGCAGTTACTGCGCCTCCGCAGCCGCTACCGACAATCACCACGTCCGTTTCAATCGTCTCGGGTTGATCTCCAGCAGGGAACTGCAGGAACTCATACGGGAAGCCATCGGTCGGCTTTCCATGCACGGGAATGCGAGGAATTCCGAGAACTTGATTCATGGTCGGACTCGCCATCACCCACGACTTCTTGACGATTGCCGAGAGTCCGCGATAGACCGCGCGGAGGGGGGGCAGTCGGGAAGTGTCCCATCCACGGAAGACCTTTTCACGGAAGGCCACGGGCTGTTGATGAATTGGTGTGGTGGACCCGGTTAGTATCAATGAGCCCGCTCGAGTGCTATTTCCGAGGTTAGGATTGCGATCGCACACAACGAACTAAAAGGAAAATCCATACTTGAGAGCATTCATAATCAACCCAAAGCCACTCTTTCCTTCCTCGTGTACATAATGCCCGAAAATGCGCTCCACGTATGCACGGAAGAGAGGATTCGACGAGACATCTTCTTCCAAGTAGATGGCCGCGACCTTTACGGCTTCAGGGCCGGGGATCAACGAGGACAGCTTGGTCACGGCCGAGTCCCATTCTGCGGTTGAAATGACCTTGTCGGTTGATGATCTGACGGTAGCAGCCGTCCGAATTGACGGGATTATAGCATCTGCCAATGCAAAGAGTGTCGTCCATTGCGTCTCGGAAAAGAACGACGTATCCGGGCCTGGAGGAAGAGGCACCTCCAGCGGAGTATATTCGGAGGCAACCAGGTCAGACATGCTGACGATAGAACTTTAACCCCCAAACACGAACCGCCACGCTATGCAGGGTCTCACAGATCCTTATACGTCCAAAACCAGAATGGACGGAGCACCCGCACTGCAGCGAGGAAAAGCAAGAAAGAGTAATAATAATAATGACAATGACAGGGAGTGGAGAGGTCAGATATAACCCCGGATTCCGGAGCCAACGGACCAACGCTGGTCTTCCCCACAGTCTGTTCGCACGGTGCCCAGGTCGGAGGTTCGGGATCAGAGCCTCGGGACTAATGAAACGTGTCGGAAGAAGAACGAGGGAAAGGATGGGGAGGGTGATCGAGAAGAATCAGACCAGGCCATGTCTCCTCCTCTCCCAACAAAGCGCGTAAAGGGTTCGGTGAAGATTAACATTGGGACTGGGAGGGGGCGTAGGGCCTCGGTTAGTTGGAAAAGTGCCATGAAAACCAGAGAGCTTGGGATCCAGTTTTTTTAGTGTCTTTTTTGGCATCAAGTGGGTCAGTTCCCACGCGTCGAACCAGTGAAGATGCTCCGGTCGCAGGCGATCGTCAGGTTCTCGGAGAAGCTCGTGCGGGCGAAATTTCCCTGAATCAGCCGAGATTCACAGCCATGTGCATTCATTCGGTGGATGAGAGAGAGATATAGAAAAGATCAGCCCGTATTTTAAGTTGATTGCCTTGTACCTCAAAAGAGAAGTATCTATCCGACGTGTCATTTATTCTTCGAGTACGGAGTACTACAATAGATAGGATGGTACCTACCTATCGATGATGGTAGTACTTTGTTCGGAGGACTAGTAACTGGTGTCCCGATGGCCTGGTTATGGTTTCATATATGACATGATCGAAGCACCTTGATGAGTATAGTTCACAGCGATACTAGCGATCCTAGCTAAAGATTACTGGTTCTTATTTAAAAGGCATCGTCAGGAAAGATCTAATGTTTCTTTCGGTATCAGGTAGGAGGAAGTCTAGCGAAAAGTACGGAGAGTGGATTAAGAAAGAAAACGACGGATGATCATAAGAACCCCATCGAAAGGGAACTATTCCCCCGGGATATACTACTGTCAAGTATGTGATAACATCATGATCACTAGAATGGAAATCAAAAATGTCAATCAATGAGATCTCCACCGTTCGAGAGTTGGACCTTCTGACCTGCAGGACCGGAGTTTTCCAGCCGAACTTAGTAGGTGCCTAATCTAGCCATCTGCTACTAACTACTGTACGGAGAAGTTACTGTATGTTAACTACCGACTAGGACTAGGCAGGTATAGCGACTACTACACTAAGAGCGCAACAGTCTGGGAAATAAGCCTATTCCACACCAAAACCTAACATATATAAGCTTTGATTATTCAATATTTTGATAACATACTAGTTATATAGTTTTTTGTACTTTAAAAGATTGTTAAATATCTAAAATCTTTATTCTACTCAAGAAAATCACTACCTAAATATTCTAATGTCAGGTACATAGTAGGAAAGTAGTCCCCTTTTTCCGAAGATATATATTTTGAACGGGAATGCTAACAAAATATCTTCATAACATAGCATTTAATCTATACCTAGAACTTAAACCGCTACTAATCAGAGATTAAACATATAAGAATACGATCGACCTTTCTTAGTATACATTTAAGTGATTTCTTTTCTATATATTCAAAAATTTTTACCTAGTTACTAACAAAAATACCTATTTAGCGCTAATTAAAGATTACCACTTAGATTTCGATAAAACTGAATGCGACCGTAAAAATTAGGCCTTTATGTCTAAATAATTAGATAAAAATAATATTTTAGAAGGAAACACTTAGATCTATATTAATTGAATACTTGAATTATTCAAGTTGGTGACGATATTAGCAATCAAAAGTAGTATGGTAGGATGCAGATTTTGCATTTCCCAGACTTATCATACAGATTTGTACCTTAGTATAGTGACTATGTAGATAGTGCAACTTGTTGATGCTCATCAAACACTATCTACTAGGTCCATAACTATGACTATGGAAGCTATCGATGTAGCTCCGAGTGCACTGACGCGGTCGCCGCTTAGCTGAGCTTCAATCACCGCCAACCTCCACCTCCACCTCCACCACCTCCACCCTTCATACTTTCTCAACCTCCCCCAACTACTACCTCCTCCATCTGCACCTTGCACCATGGCAGGAGAATCCAATCCCTCCACCCCTGCTAGCGCCGGCAAATCACCAGCCTGTACCCTTCCCCCCGACAAGGTCTTCTCCATTCAGATTGGCTCCGAGCTCTTTCGCCTGTCGGGAGCCTCCATTGCCTCGGACGGTCGGTGGAGATCCAACTCGTTCCGACGATCGTGAAAGTTAACATGTCACTCTCCATGCAGCACCCTCCTACTTCTCCCGCTTCTTCGAGGAGCAATTGCGCCTGGTCGATCCCTCCAATGTTCGAACTCTCTACATTGATCGCGACCCAGCAACTTTTCAGGACATAGCCCGCCATCTCCAAGGTACATACAGACAGCAACGCGCAGGGCAAGACGCGCAGATGCGACAGCCTGCACCCTCAATATATGGACCACTACTAACAGTCATACAGGATATCATGTCCAGCCTCGAGATGGCGCCCAATTTGTGAAGCTATTCGCCGACGCGCAATTCTACACCTGTCAGATATTCACCCAATGGCCCCAATTTTGCGACTGACCACCCTCCCCCATGCTGACCAACGACAGTGCCCCGGTTAATGTCCCAATTATTCGAGTCCGAGATCTTCATCCAGATCGGCGACCACCACTTTCAGATCCCTCGTGACATCTTCTCCGGCCCTGGTGATTCCCCGAACTTCTTTTCCCTTGGTTTCGGCGCGTTTTTTTGCCTCGCCCTCCGAGGTCTTCCCCGGGCTGGACCGCGTTGGTCTCCTTCGACCCCCCGCTATCGTGCCCCCGAGCGTCCCCAACCGGTCTGCAGACGTGTTTGCAGAACTGCTTCACCTGCTACGTGGATACCCGCTGCATATTCGAAATGCCGATCATCGTGCAGAGCTGTTACGCGATTGTCGCTATTTCCATCTCCGCGGACTGGAGCAGAAGTTGATTCCCCACCACATCAGTTACAATCCTTTCCGTCAACGCTCGGAGATTGTGATTCGCCTGGAAGATGTACGACCGTCCGGTATTCACTTCGCTCCGGATACGACTTCTCGAACCGGCGTTGGGTCGGTGCTATACGCTCGTCCCTTCGTCGACGAGAACCCGTCCGATTTGATCTTGGAAATTGCAGACGCCTCTACTATGGTCAATCGAGCTATCCGCCGGGCCGATTTCGTGGGATTAACCAAGTCTCGCATGGCGAGCTTGCTCCAAGTAGTGGCCAAGAGGATGAATCTTCCGAATTTGCAATTGGGCGCGATCCCTATCAAGGTCCGCTGGGGACAAGCCACGGATATCGTGGTGGACGGTGAATCGAATTACACCTGCCCGGCGAATTTTGCACCAGATTTAGAGACGGATGATGATTTACCGCCGGCCAAGCGTCACCGTACGGATGGATCTGAATCATCTTACAATGAGCCATGCGTGATTCGAACAGGGCAATGGCGACTACTGGTGGAGCCTGACAATAACGGCGCATACGAGGCAGTCCTGGTCGCGGTCAAGTTGGACACCTGGACGACTGCGCGAGTGCGAAACCAACAGCAAAAGTTCCTCTGAAGATATTATCTAGTGGGGACACGTCAACTGAAGAGGTGTCACGACTGCTATGCAAGGTGTGATATTATACAGGTCAAGGCGTTTTCGACCTTGCCCACGATCTCTAATCGGAAAAGCCATCCCACTCTTCATCCTCATCGCTGTCATCAGCGGCATCATCTTCGGGATTACCGTCTGCAACATGATCATCGTGGGACTTCTTGACAGGTTCTGTACCAACGCCTTCCGAGTCACGTACAAACCCAGCAACAAAGAATCCTCCCAACCCTTCAGCATCGCCGGACCAACAGCGCAGGCAAGCCTCGAGGTCCTCCTCGGAAAGTGCGGCAACCGATTCGCTCTCCTCCGACTCCACGCCGGTCTCCATGTCTCGATCACGACGCACGCCACGATGCTTCCACCGGCGTAAGCCCTCTGGCTGCTCGTCGCGTCGTAACAGTCGCCAACCACGCTCTCTAGCAACGTCCGATGCCAAGAGGCGGGCCACTACGGCCTCGTTCTCGATCAGATGGATGGAGCAGGTGCTGTATGTAGCGTGGGTTGCGTTGGGAAATCTCAGTGCATGCTCGACGATGCGCGCCTGCAGATTCGACAACTTTGTGAGTCGATCATTGTCAATTGTGCCACTTGGGATATCATTCTCATCCGAGGGGGCGGCACTCGGCTCTCCCATCGTCACGTTTGATGATGATTCCTCGGGCTCATCATGATCCTCGGTGCCGCGTTTCCTTTTCTTGCCGTTGGGCTTGGAAGACTTGACCACTTTAGGTTGAGGAACTGTCAATTGGGGAACATCATCTCGACCCACAATGCCACTGCCCGAACAACTTGGATCAAGTAGAAGACCAGATACATTCTCAAACTGTGAATCCATAGGGTCCAAGGCCAGAAAGTCCTGGCCCTGCAACACAGTAACCATAGGGTCTGCCCCAGCTAGCGAGATCATCTTCTGCAGCGTTTTAGAACGCACTTTAGACGCATCCATAGAAAATATCTGTTTCCGAGGATTTTGCTGCTTTTGCTGCTTGGCGAGTAACGATGCCATGTGGGTAGTCTTGTTTCCCGGAGCAGCACAACCATCCACCAAGTCCCCCTGCCAGGCATCCTTGGGCCCGCGATCACCTAACAAGAGATATGCGGGGAAGCACGACGCCTTATCCTGTAAGATAATCTCCCCGTTCTTGTATGCAGGCGACGACGTAAAATCCGCCCCAAAGGGCACCGCCACAAGATCGGGGATATTAGGATCCATGTACAACAACTTCCGCTTCGTCCGATCATCCTCTGCCGGGGCAAGTGCAGCAAGCGAATCTACACGCTCGTAATCTGCGAATGTAGTGCGCAGTTGATCATCGAGAGAACTCCGGATATTATTCACGCGCACCCAGCGCGGATAAACGAAATGGGCCGTCCCATCTGCCTCGCGCTTCTCTCTCAGCACCGCGGCCTTGAGCAGGTCTACCGAGGCACAACCCCGACGCACGCGAGCCTTGGTAAATTCAGCCTTGAGACGAACTTTATGCCGCTCCACCGCTTGACGAATCGGGTGTGCCGCCGGCGCTGCAATGCCTTTCTTCGAGAGGAGATGGTCATAGACCAAGAGGAGAGCCAGAAGCGGAGTCAACTACACGAGAATCATGGGTACTTTGTCAGTCAGTCAGTATGACATGTAGATTCCCCTGGGGCATTGCGCATGCTCACCTTGCGCTCGACGCTGAGAATATCGGCATTTTCAATGACCTCCGCCAGGACGCGGTCCCATTTGGAGGCCTCGGTGATCAGGGCATAGATTTGGGCGGGAGAGGCGCGGAGATTGCGGGCGCTGTAGATGCGGGATTTGAAGGAGCCTCCTGCTGAGGGCGCGGTCAGGATTGCGACCGCGTCGAAGTAGAGGGACATGAAGGGTTGATGCGATGCTGTGGAGCTACACAATCTCTCAAAATCGGAAAAGATGGAAAGATAATTTGATGAAATGATGGAGATCGTGGGTTGTTTGACTTGTTTGCATTCCTGTGGGTCGACTTTTTGTATGCCATCGAGTTCAGCATTATCAACATGGATGATCGAGGTAAGAAGAAGACCTATGGCCTAATGTATCTGATGCTGTAAGATCTGGTTATCTGATTTTTTATTACTCTTTATTTTCAATTGAAATATGAGATGCCTAGCTTAGCATTTAAAGTGACAGACAATCGGTGAGTCAGTGGATGTATACTCCGCGTCTAAGATGCCGATTATATATATGTCTTCCTCTCGGCAACTCTACCTCAATTCTGCGACACCACCTCCTACCACCTACTTCCCTGTTACCTCCAGCTCCCATAGAGCTCCAACCTATTTCGATCTGGTGGCCAGGAACCCTTCTTCACAAGACACATCGTGTCCATATCCACACACCGTGCAGAACCAACATCCATCGCAGAACAACCCATCATGACAACCTCAAAACCTACCTTCACAATCGCCATTCAACCCCCTCCAGGCCCAACAACCACCCTCCACCTCCCAACCCACCCCTCCGCCGCCAGCAACCCCCCACTCTTCAACGATGCAATGCAAATCCGCATGCGCGTCTTCGTCGACGAACAGCACTGCACCCCCGAATCCGAAATCGACGCCGACGACACACGAAGCTGGCAATGGGTGATCTACGCATGGACAGGAGCAGCAAACAACGCACAAGACTCTACTTCTTCTTCTTCTTCTTCTTCTTCTTCTTCTTCTTCAACGGCATCATCCATCCCCGTCGCAGTCATCCGTCTCGTCCCCCCACCGCAACCACCACACGCCCTCCTCACACACCCGCACGACGCGGCAACAAAACACCTTCCCGACTGGGACTGGACCCATGAGCCTTGTATAAAACTCACCCGCGTCGCCGTGCTCCCCGAGTACCGCGGCCACAAGCTGGGTCGACGTCTCGTCGAGACGGCATTGACGTGGGCCGCAACACACGCGGGGGAGATTGATGCCGCGGCGGCGCAATTAGCAACCCAGGCCCAGGCCCAGGGCCCAGCGCAGACGAATGACGATTTCAACTCGACGGTGGTTGAGGGGGGATGGTCTCCTGCTTCGTGGAGGGGATTGGTACTTGTGCATGCGCAGGTCGATGTGGAAGGGATGTATCGGGGGCTTGGGTTTGTGACGGATGAGGGGTTGGGGAGGTGGGATGAGGAAGGGATTGAGCATGTTGGGATGTTTCGGCGGGTGGAGTTGTAATCATCACTTGAAATAGAGGCCGATATGGCCATGGCCACGGAAAGTCGAGGGATTGTTTATAGAGTATTGGGACATAACGATACTGTACTACGAAAGTGGGCTGGGCTGGGCCATGGATGTGATAGACGTAGACAGGCATGAACGATGTGGTGTGGCGTGCAGGAAAGTGTGCATATCAGATAAGATACACCTATACAGATGAATTGCATACCGAAGGTTTACGAGAAGAGAACAAAAAAGCAAATAGAAAAACAAATTCGGGACTAGTCAAAAAAGTTGAATTTCATTCCGAGGGTTGAAGGCCCACGTCGTGTCCGTCTAGCGTTGCAGTTGAGGATCAGGCACCAGTGCGGAAGGACGGAAGAAGAGAAAAAGCAGAAACGAGATTGCCGCTCGAGAGAAGTGGCGGGGTATCCTGATCAAACATGAGAGAAGAAAAAAAGACCATGAAAAAGCCACTGCAAAAGAAACAGGAGCACGCAAGGAAACCAGAGACCGTTGATCCCGTCTAAAAAAAACATCATGCAAAGTGTCAAGCACGGCTACCCCGGAGGGAGGGTGTCTTGAACGGACAATAGAGAAATGGAAAGCAAAAACAAAGCACGCATGATGTTCATAACCCAGGACGCCTGTAGAAAACTCCGTATCCGATGGTCGCAAATTAGAGAAGAAGAAAATATCGAGGCCATGTAGAAAGATGAAAAAAGGCGGAGATATCAGAAGTGAAGTATGTCGAGAATGCCATTGCCAGACCCGCTGATCAGTATGCGAGACCCGAGATGAAGGAGGTCAACTCCATCATGAGAGACAATCTTCATTCGGTCAATTTAAAAGGTGCTCCAGTTCCAGTCACGGGGAACACTGGCAGCCACGTCGGCCGTCTGGCCGAGGTTAGCCTTGAGAGCCGCTCGGCCCGAAGTATCACTGGACTCGAGATCCTCGGCGGGCTGAGTGGCCTCGTCGCTCTTGGCGTCGATCGAGCTCTGAATCTTGTTCAGGCGATCGGTGCGAGTCTCTTCCCAGCGTTGGTAGGCACTCCAGCAGAGATCACAAGCCCGCGAGAGAACTCCATCGGGGTGGAAGCGGGCATTCTGATCGAGAGGCACGAGATGAGGGGTGTGGTTGTAGCAAAAGACATGGCCGCAGTGACGGCAGTGATGGCGGCGGGTGAAGAGGCCGAACGAAGAGCGGCAAGTGGGCGAATCACAGCTCGAAGAAGCAGCGTCAGCCTGGAGCGGAGAGGAGAGAAAGGGTTAGCACAGGACCGTTAAAACATGGTGGGACAGCTTATGTGATTTCGATTGCCAGACACAGTCAACATGCGAGCACGCCATTCCGATGACGAGCGCGACACGTCGACTGCGAATGGCGCCATTCTCACCAGCCCGGTCATATATATAAAGAGGGGGATATGACAAGACGATCGAGAAAACAAATCAAGGAGGTCGTGTTTTCACTCACCTTCCAGTGATCGCGGGTTGGCATGCCCGTAACCACGCCCAAGTGCTCGGTCTTCATCCACTCGTGCTCAGCGACCTTGCTGATGCCGCTGGACTTGCTCTCCATGGTGGAGCGACGACTGATGGGTTCGGTGTCTTCGTTCAGGCTGTCGAGAGAACCGTGCACACTGCGCGGAGGGGTGATGGGCGAGGACTTTTGAGGACGTTCGGTGGGCCGCAGTGCAGCCGGGACGTAGAGAGGGCCCTTGAGAGGACGCAACTGGCGGGACTGAAGAGGTAACTGATGGAGGGCGGCGGTGGTGAGACGCGGGGAAGTGGGAGAGTTATTCGCGGGTGTGGGAGTGGACGAGTTGGTGGGTGAGGGTTGGCCGTAGACGGAGATTTGGTGGTTGCCGGGTGCGGCCGTGCCGGTCGGGGCGGGGGCGGTGGTCGTGGCCGTCATAACGTGAGTTGCCATTTCGGAAGATGATGATGAGTGTTGGGGATAGGAGAAGAGGGGAGAGAGGGAGGGCGAGGAAGAAAGGAAGAAGAGGAAGGAGGAGGGAGGAGAGAGGACTGAGTTTGGAAAAGTTGGGAGAGGAAGAGAGAGCGAGAGAGCCGAGTCCCAAGACGGTTTGTCGGCGACAGAAGTAATAAAAGGGAGAAGAGAGCGAGAGAGCGAGATGAGTTCGGGACAAGTGATCAGTGGACCAGTGACCAGTCGGCTGAAGGTAAGTCCAATAAATCCAGAGCCAGAGGATTCAATAATAATAATAATAATAATAATCGAGTCCACTTTCTTGGATTTGCCGCGTCGTAGATTGGCAGAAGTATCCGGACGAGGAGACTCCGCGAGGACGAGCACACGACAGGGTCTCGGAGGTTGTCCAGTCCCGTGGAGAAGGCGAGAGGCGAAGGCGAACGGGTGCGCGGTGAATGGACCGAGTGGAGAACGTCCGGAGGAGGGGCGACAGGAGCGTTGAAGCAAGTGGAGTAGTATCCTTCAGAAGACTCGGTGGAAAAGTGGAGAGAGAGAGAGAGCAAGGAAGAGACGACGACGAAGAATAATGGGAGGCGCAGAACGAGATGGCGCGGAAGACGATCACGGCAAGGACGAGAGAAGAATAGCGGATTCCACAAGGGAGGTCGTTGAACGGGGGAAAGGGGCATTCAAATAAGATACGTTGAATTCAGTGTCATTCGAAAAGAATCCCATCTGATGAACCCAGAAAGGGGGGGGATATGATCGGGAGATAAGAAGATGTACCGGTACATCCACGATGGATGGGATGGATGGAGACTGTCTACTTGGATGTATCCAATAGACCGGACCACTACCGTATGTTTATGATCAAATGTCATGATTCTATCGACTCCCTCATCTACCAGAGTATCTCTTCGTCTTACCACCGTCTACCCAGATGAATGATTATTCCTTTCCCGCTTGGGTCCTCCAACTACCCGCTACGACACGGGCCCGCGGTGACAGATCCGGCCCTTTGCCGGTGTGTCCTCCCGTCTATACGACCTCGCTAATATATCAGAGGCAAGACTCGACATCCGGAGAAGCGAACCGGCGACTTGAACTACAGTACGGAGTAGTCACTCTCGCATCCTTGACGCAGAGACAAAGTAGTAACTGGCCAGTCGATCCCCGTATTCACCTCCAAAGGGGTACATTCTCTTCCCCTCGTCTCTCTCTCAAGCCAGAGTACATACATACTTGAGACACACCGATTGTTTCTAAACCGCCTCCTCTTGCTGACCGCTCTTTTCGACGAGAGAACTGGCCAGTTCTGGGAGATCCCGAGTCATCACAGCTCTCAGAGATGCTCTCACATATGTGTGCAAGGATCTATATCTCTGTCTACTCCATCCATCACCAACCAACGAAATCCTCTCCCTTCTCCCTTGCGGCGGGGATATCCGTCTTACTATCCAGAATCGTATTATTATAGTACTGACGGAGGATCCATACCCGAAGTATGATCCGCGACCCGTTGAGTCGGCACTCCACATTCATACTGTACTGCATGTTGGCACTTGCAGACTGGTTTTACACTATCAGTCTTTTCCGTCCTGTCGCATCATTATCATTTGATGGATTCGAATCTCAGAATGAGATCCACCATACATCCTGTAAGTGCGCCAACGTACGGTAAGTCTGTTATTTGCAGACTGCTCCACTTGGCCCCGCCAGCTCCGCCGTCCTCCGCGGAAGGAGCTCGTGCCATCCTCTCGATCGGGAGACTCGACCCTAACCGGTGGCCCATCCTTCTCGGTATACCCAAGTACCGATACATTTCGACCAGTTGATAGTTTCCCCGCAGGAGGAGGCATAAAAGGTATAATGTTATGATGCTATGATGTTATGATATTCAAAACCTCCCAGCCATCGATGTCAGCGGCCACATCCTCCCTCCCAGCGTGGATGGCCTCGAGCGGGTTCCGCCCGAGAAGTCCAAAAGGTGAGAGGTTGACAATCGGCGAGAATCCCACTGGGATCCACTCTCTGATCAGAGACTCCAATCAACTTCCTCACAAGAATTCATACAAGGTTTGCTAGTGCCACCTTTCCAAGTGCCAAGCGCAGCCCACAACCATGCGCCACCAATCACCTTCCCGTCCCACCGTCCAGGCAGCTGGTGGCGTTTCTGGCTTATCAGAGAAAGATCATTGGATACCGAATCCTCGGGTCCGTCGCCTTTGGGGAAAGTCTTACCAGCCTCGAAAAGCCCTTTGGCACTCGTCGAAGAACTGTGAAGCACACCGTTCGGTTCCTCTTTCGGGAAAAACTCAAGCAAAGAGACTCCTCCTCAAAGCCTAAAGGAAGTTCTCGAGTCTCGACTCTGGACGATCCCTTTCCACCGCGCTAACAAAGACAACCCACGAGCTCCTGATTGGCGCAAAATATGTAAAGCACACTGTGTCACTTGTCTACCCGCCCGCGCGGATCAGCACTTTGCCCGCCACCCAAGTTTGAGCAGGTTCATTATCCACCAATGCATCTCCTCCGATCGGTGGACCTGTTCTCTCCCGAATCCGGCAATCATCTGGAATGTTTCCAACTGCTATTCCCTCGGCTCGTGCCCGAAGTCGCCTCCTCGGGAGTCGGCGGGCGTTTACGCATTTATGAGTACGGAGTACAGTAAGTAGTAGACTGTCTCCTCTATGCATGAGAATGGTTCATTATTGTTGTTCCGCGTACTCCGTATGAAATTATGAACCTCCTTGAAATCTCTCGCCTCAATGCCTCAATTGCCGACATTAAGCGTGACCACCAGCTTCTCCTGTGTACAACCTAGTCTAAGTCCGTATAGTGTTTGGCATGCAGGTCGCATCTCATACTACTGTACGGAGTACAGGAATGATGATTCAATGATGCTGCAGATCATCAAAAAAGATTCACTAGCGCCCTGAACGACGCCTCTGGAAGACAATAATGACGTGCCAATCACTAGTTAGAGTTGGAGAATCTCCGAGTGACGGTTGAGACAAAGTTAACTCTACTGACAGCGCTTCCGCCTTTCGATAGTCAGTGGATGGTTACGCAGCATCCGAATGTTCTTTGCGCCTGACTCGGTCGTTGGACATTATCGTGCTCACGACGCTGCGACCGTAGGAACGGGCAGTGGGTATAACGGGGAAATTCTCCGCATTTGGCTTGAGCACCTGCATATGGAATCGACCGTTGACATGAGTTGACGCGGTGACTAGCAACACCACCAAGAGGTGAGAGAGGACTGTTTGCAGTCTCAAGTAAGTATCCAATTCAACCATAGAAAGTACATAGTTCCAAATACAATATACTATTATTGCCTACCGTGGCCTGTTCTGCGAAAACGATAAAGACTACCGTTGTCATTGCTAATTGAACGTGCCCAAAGCTACATTCCTCAAGCTTCAGGTATCAAGACCTCGACAACTCTTAGACCTAGTCATAAAACTAAAACCCCTCCAAGTCAACGTAGTATTCGACCCTTGGAATCCCTCAGGACAAGCTTTCCCACGATAGACAGGCATCGACGCGGGGGAAAGGAAAAGCACGGACTATCGATAACCTTGCGATAACCTTGCGATAACCTTGCGATAACCTTATTGTAGTTCACATCAGCCATACAAAAGTGCTGATAACTCAGTACCTAGTCACTGTACCAGACCCATGAAACTATAGCGGACAACCACGTTCACTCCGGACCAGGAAACACGGTCCCGATCCAACCCATCAACCCCTCAGATCTGGTACAATCTCCAAGATCTCAAAGGCCCGTCAGATCTCGGATCCTTACATTCCTCCCCCGGAGGTGCAAGTGCAACCCCCAGACCGGCGATGCCCATTGCCCAGACGCGGTGGAAAAGGTTCCCAACCGCTTGCATCCGTTTCGCTTGCAACTGTTTCTATTTCGAGATAGTTCCGATGGTAATCCACCATATATCCCCTCTCTCCACATCGGCTTACATCCGCACCCCGGATATGGCGTCATGACTCGGTGCTTTTGTCCAGAGACACGCGACGCCACGTCATGCAGGGCATTAGGTTCGAGCGCTGGACCTCGATCTCGACCTCGATATTCGAGCTAAACCTCAGCACAGGGTTCCCCTTCCAGTACTCCGTACTGCGATCCACGACCAGAAGCACAAACACCATCACCCTAAACCACAAACTCTCCAATCCCCTCCCCTCCCCTCGTCCACTCCAATCATGAAGCTCTCCGTCTTCAGCGCCAAATCCTACGACCGGAGCTACCTCGACCAAGTGCTCACCACCCGCTTCCCCAACCTCTGCACAATCGAATATCACGCCTTCGCCCTCTCCGACGAAACCGTCCCGCTCGCCCAGGCCAGCGATGCAGTCTGCGTCTTCGTAAACGACACACTCGACGCCTCCGTCCTGCACGCCCTGCACAAGGGCGGCGTCCGCGCAATCCTCCTCCGCTGCGCAGGCTTCAACCACGTGGACCTCAGCACGGCCGAAAAGCTGGGCCTCTTCGTCGCGAACGTACCCGCGTACTCGCCCGAGGCCGTAGCTGAGTTTGCCGTGACGCTCGTGCAAACGCTGAACCGCAAGACGCACCGGGCGTATAACCGCGTGCGCGAGGGCAACTTTAATATCGAGGGGTTACTCGGGACGACGCTTTACGGGAAGACGGTGGGGATTGTGGGCGTGGGACGGATTGGACTTGCTGCGGCGCGGATCTTCCACGGGTTTGGGTGTCGATTGATAGCGTATGATCCGTTTGCGGGGCCTGAATTTGGGCAGTATGGCACGCTGGTCGAGTTGGATACGCTGTTGCAGGAGAGTCATATTGTCAGCTTGCATTGTCCGTTGACCGGAGGGACGAAACATTTGATTAACGAGAGTACCCTGGCGCGGATGAAACCCGGTGCGATGCTGGTGAATACCTCGCGGGGAGGATTGATTGATAGTGCGGCGGTGATTGATGCGCTCAAGACGCGGCAGTTGGGTGGGTTGGCGTTGGATGTGTATGAGGCGGAGGGGGAGCTGTTTTACAATGATCATTCGGGGGAGATTATTGATGATGATGTTTTGATGCGGTTGATGACGTTTCCCAATGTTTTGGTCTGTGGCCACCAGGGGTTCTTTACGAGTGAGGCTCTCACGGAGATTGCGGGTGTCACGTTGTCGAATCTGTCTGATTTTGCTGGTGGGAAGTCATGTGCAAATACTCTGGTTACAGAGGGACATGTACTGGTCCGAAGAGATACCGCACCGGTGCGGTTGTAAATAGTAATGGAAGATGACAAACCTGGTACTTCATAATGTATAATGCGAAACGGGGTAGAAAGATATGAAGTATGTAGCATTGAATAGATCGTATCAGACTGATGGGAATCATAATAGCAAATGGCCTTCATGATGGATCAAATCAACTGCAGGTCTGAAAGATTTGACCGTGTTGGTCGCAAAAAACAAAGCAAGAACGGGTAAACAAGGACAAAGGAATTATGGCAACGCCGTATCAACAGAAAGAAACTCCAGGTATCAAATTCAGTTGCGGAGCGGTCGAGTACATTGGAATTGATCTCGCAGTGCCTGCCATGCCCGAGGGATAAAGCGATGTCCGTGGACGATCAACGGGACCACCGCAATCAACCACATCACATAGACGATGCCCACTGCAAACGCGAGACGAACCTGCTCCATGGTCGAGCCCATGATCCCCGGTCGAAGCGGTGTCCGTGGCCCGTGCGACTCTTGATCAGTATGCGTCAACGCATCGGCAATCTGCCACGCCGCTCGACGGTTGATCTTCTCCCAGGTGGTATCATCAGCATACTCTCGGGCAGCCGTCGCGAGTCTCTCCCGTCGGGCCGAGTCTTGTGCGACTTCCCGCGTCAACTCGGTGAATCGATCCAGGTCATGTGGTGCAACCAGATACCCGGTCTGATCATGACGGATAATGTCAGAGGGCCCGCCCTGATCGCGCGCAATCACGGGAAGTCCACTCGCCATGGCTTCCAGGACGACCAGCCCAAAGGTCTCGGTAATCGAGCAGTGCAAGAACAGATCGGCCGAGGCGTAGGCCCGAGCCAGCGCCACTCCCGTCAGGAACCCGGTGAAGACGACATGATTCCGGACCGCGTCAAACAACCGTTTGACCTTGTTTTCCACCGCGGGGTTGCGGTTCCCTCCCACGATCAACAGCTTGAACGGCACCTTGTCCGCGGCCAAGCGGGTCGCGACCTGGGCGAGAAACTCGAATCCTTTCTCCGGGGCAATGCGACAGACGCAGATGAGAATGATTTCTCCACCCGGGGCGATCTCTCGGCGATAGGCCTCGTCCCGATGCGTGGGGGTAAATAAAACGGTATCGACGCCGCGACCCAGCTGGACGAATCGGTCGACGGGGGCACCGGCGCGTTCCAGGTAGCCTCGAATGGCGGAGCATGGGTAGAAGATGGTACGGACGGCGCGCGTCCGAAACAAGAATCCCTGGACGGTGGCCAACAGCCAGACGCCAAACTGATCCAGCGGGGTCGGAAGCATGATCTCCGAGTAGGCGGACAGATCGGTCTGGAAGTTGAGCAGCACTGGCGGGGGGGATCGCAGTTGGCGAATCTGCAGGAGCATTTGAAAGCCGAGCGAGGCCGGACTCGCCAGGTAGATGATATCGGGCTTGAAGGTCTGCTGGTAGACCTGGTTGATTTGGAACGGATACACCACGGTCAAGTCCGGGTTGTAGGGCAGGGCGCACCCGGGCAGGCGATGCTCCCAGGGTACCTTTTGTTTCGCGGTGTCGCCTTTGAAATGCGGCGCGACGAGAATCAGCTCCACGCCATGCTCGCGCAGGTACTCAACCAGACTGCGAGTGGTGCGACTGACGCCGTTGACAGGACCCCAGGATTCGGTGGCCAGTAGGACCTTTTTGCCCTGCAGAATGCTGGGGAACTGGTCGTGATCCTCCTGAAAGGACGCTAGCAAAGGCGACGACTCGGCCATGATGCCGATGCAGCACAAGTCATGGCGAGAGAATTCTCTCGAGGCGGGGGAGGAGGGGGGAGGGGGGTTGATAGATAGTCTTTTGCAGGTGGGCGTGGGGCTGATCAATGCCGATTCCAAGTTGGCTGCTCACGGTCCGGTGCAGGTCCCGGGCTTGTCGAAGGAAGTTTCTTCTTTCTTCTCATCTCCGCCCATTTTGGGACGAGAATGGCCGTGGACAAGGCCACGGGTTGGCACACAAGAGCCGTCGATTGGCGGGAGCTGTTGAGAGCTGGACAGCGCTGGACAGAGTTGGAGTGGTCATGTCGAGAGAGATGCTGCACGTGCCGCATCTGCCCGCTGACAAGGACTGGGCCAGGATTTTGGGGGGATATTTTGGGACATCTTTTTTTTTTTTTTTTGGTGTTTTTGGGGACATTTTGGGAGGGCAAAAGAGAGGAATCGTCTTAGGGACTTTTGGGGTGTTGCTTAGTGTTGCTTGGCAGCCAGTGGGAACGCGCCATTCCCCGCGTGCCCCAACGATGCGCTCGCAAGTGGACGATCGCGATCACTTTAACATTTCCCACCTCCGGTGCAGCGAGTACTCCGTACAGGAGGAGTCCATATGAAGGGGCAACGACGAGAAATCGTAATAAGAAATATGACCTGCTCGGGAATGGTCATGAGGAGCACGAGGAACGTCCGAGAGCGGAATATCCTCTCCTGGTCTTTCCTTTTTTCCTTTTCTCTTTCTTCTCCTCGAGTGCATCGGTTGTCGCGCCAAGTCTTCTCATAGTTCCTCATACTTCGGCCTGGACTAGATCGTGATTGATCACCACGTCCACGCAAATCCCAGAGACCAGAGAGACAACTGATCCGACTGATCTGACTGCGTTTGATCTGACCGCGTTACCCCGTTATTGCTTGTCTCGTGTCCCGCGTGGTTCGTGGTTCTCCCCTCATCGCTCGTCGCAACACAGCACACCACCGCTGGCAACCATGTCCAGCGACGAGATCCCCATGGACGTCTTCTCCTCCTCCTCCCCGTCCGAGGGAACTTCCGAGGGAAGTCGGTCCTGCTCAACGGGTCCCACCACCCCAAGTGCCAGCCCGTTGTTCCGTCCCTCTGAATTTGATGATCTCAAACTGGCCGCTTTGTCGCAGTCGCGCGTCCTCAGCGAGACCGAGTTACCCCGGATTGCGGTCAAGAATATCTGTGTCGTCGGCGCAGGATATGTCGGTAGGTCGCATCCCAGCCGAGATTCAGCGGCAGCATTCACTGTTGCGGTGGGAGCGTGAGTTGACCCCAAATCGCTACAGGTGGTCCCACGGCGGCAGTTCTGGCCCTCTATCACCCTTCCATCTCGGTCGAAGTGCTAGACAGAGACCCAAGCCGCATTCAACGATGGCAGTCCCAGCACTTACCCGTCCACGAACCGGGCTTGGACACGGTCGTGCGTATTGTCCGCGACGGTGCCGATATCAGCACCGAGGGCATCCAGCCCGCTGCCTCTGCATCTGGACGCCCCCAGAATTTGCTCTTCACGTGTAACTCTGCTCAGGCCATCTCACGCGCAGATATCATCCTCATGGCGGTGAATACCCCAACAAAGATGTTCGGCGTGGGCGCCGGGTGCGCCACCAACATGACCGCCTTTGATGGAGCCATGCGCGATGTCGCGGCCCATGCGAAGCCAGGCGCCATTATCGTGGAGAAGAGCACCGTGCCAGGAGGGACAGCGGAGCGGGTGCGCAAAATGGTATCTCTTATCCAAGATGTTCGTACGATCTAGAGCGTGTTCTCTAACCCGTTTTTCGTGCAGCTTGCCACCCACCGACCAGGTGTCTCTTTCGAGGTTCTTTCCAACCCCGAGTTCCTCGCCGAGGGCACGGCCGTCAAGAACCTCACGGCCCCAGACCGGGTATTGATCGGATCCGCACCCACTCCCAGCGGACGCCTAGCGGCTCAGACTTTGGCCAACTTGTATGCGGCTTGGGTCCCCCCATCGCGCATCATCGAGACCAATGCATGGTCCTCAGAACTGGCCAAACTGGTGGCCAACGCCATGCTTGCCCAGCGCATCAGCAGCATCAACTCGATTAGTGCGATCTGCGAGAAAACTGGAGCAGATGTGGACCAGGTAGCCAAGGCTATTGGCATGGATGTTCGTATTGGGCCCCAGTTCCTCAAGGCAGGACTGGGCTTTGGCGGGTCCTGTTTCCGCAAGGACATCGCCAGTCTGGCGTACCTAGCGGAATCCCTGGGTTTGGACGATGTGGCACACTATTGGCGACAAGTCAATGTGATGAACGAGCGACAGCGCGATCGATTCTCTCGCAAGATCATCGATCGTTTCGAGGGTAACCTGGTTGGACGCAAGCTCGCGATGCTCGGATTCGCCTTTAAGAAGAATACCGGTGACACGCGCGAGTCCTTGGCGGTGGAAGTCGTTCGTGCGCTTCTGGAAGAGCGACCGGCCGAGATCGCCATCTTCGACCCATATTGTCGCCAGGAAGATATCCTGCGCGAGTTGGAGACTGTCTGCCCGAGTTCAGCGTTGGGTCAGATTGTCAAGGTTCATCCGGACCCGTACCTGGCCTGTTCCCAAGCCCATGCGGTGCTGGTAGTAACCGACTGTGACCAGTTCCGGAATGCCCCAGCCCGTAAATCATCCAAGCAGTCCATTATTCCTCCCATGCAGAAAGAACTGGCTCGCTCTACCGCGGATGCGATGGGCGAGGAAAACTCCAAGCGAGCCTGTGCCCGACAGGACCAGGAGATCTGGACCCATGCGGGCGTGTCTTATCAACTGCGACCCCAAGAAGCCTGCTCTGCAGACTGCGGTGATTGCCGTTCAGCTGCGACCCGGCCAACGGCCACCGAGGCGATCGAGTGGACGCGCATTGCGTACAACATGGTTGAGCCAAAGTGGGTGTTTGACGGGCGGGGAATCTTGGACGCGGTGGAGTTGGAGCGGCTCGGCGTTAGTGTGGACGTGGTGGGCCGACGAACCCAGGAATTGGTGGCATAGTATAGCGATACCCTTGTGCTTTTGATTCGTTCTTTTCTTTTTTTTCCCTTCCACTCTCGTTTGCTAATTAGAATACACGAGACATGGAGTTTGACTAATTGATTGATTCCTTTTTTTTTTTTTTCATTCGTTCATGATTTTATGTCTGGTATGTTTTGTTCATGGCGAGGGTTGGACACCCAACATTGATGGAATGATGTATAGATTGCATTGTGAATATTGTTTATTTCTTTTTTTTTTATGAGACAATCCAGAATGTCTGTCTCAATCCAGGATACCTAATCACTATTTGCCTCTTATTGGAATCATATACCCAACTGCCTTCATTCTTGCTTCCATAGTTTGATGGAAATTTCCCATTTACAACTTAGACCCCTTCGAAACACTTGGCTCCAGAGCGATATTTACCTCGGGCCACCAGGGATAATTCGGCGCACTACTTTGCCGCGGATCAGTCTCAAATTGAGGCTTCCGCTTCTCAAAGAACGAGTTGACGCCTTCCTTGTAGTCCCTGCAAGTAGTCAGCTATCAATTACCAATCCCTAGCCTTAACTGGACCCAATCTTCAATCAACACTCAATAACGTACTTTTGCCCAACCATATGATGAAAGACCTTTGACTCCAGCAAATGAGCCTCTTCGGGAGAAGTCGGGCATTCCCACATCAACGCCCGACTCATCGAGGATGCTAGCGGACTCACATTCTCCGCCATATCCTGAGCTATTTCCAAAGCGCGGGGGAGCACTTGGGCGGAATCAGGAAGGACTTCCGTAAATAGGTCGCCGAAATGCTTTGGCAATGGTGGGAAGACTCCGCCAGTAGAGATGAGGTGCATCGCGCGGGAGAATCCTACCAAGCGAGGGAGGAAGTATGAGGCACAGGACTCGATGGTGACTCCTCGCCGGGCGAATACGAAGCCATACTTGCTTTTCTCGTGGCAGATCCTGAATTAAGGTCAAAAAGAGGGCATTATACTTCTTTACTTCTTAGCAAGGCATACCTTACTGCCGCCGGCAGAGTCATTGTCATTCCCACGCCTACTGCCGAACCTTGCAGTGCGACGATAGTAGGTTTATGGCATCGATGCATGGCCAAAGTGACCCGTCCACCACTAACAAACGACTCATCGGCTTAAATCGATCCACTCGAGACCACTAGGTTAACTTACATATCCCGAAAATCAGCGGCCCTCCCTTCCCCATTCCCAAATCCAATATCGAGGTCCATCCCAGCACAAAACATCCTTCCTGCACCAGTCAGCACAACGACCTTGACACGAGGATCGACATGAAACATCTGGTATGCCAGCGTCAGGCTATCCGACATAGCAGGTGTGAACCCATTATGTTTCTCTGGTCTATTCAGCGTGATAACCACGACAGGAGTTGCCGATGGTACTCCAATAGGATGGTGGGAGATCTTGATGTCAGTGAGACCCAGAGTCTCGTAGGACGTGGGGATATCGAGGGCGAGGGATGTGAGTGGCATTTTTAGAGGAATAGGTATTCTTGTAATTTTGTACTTTGGCTACTTTGAGGAAAAGGTTATACGTCTTATACATTCTATGAGTCCTGGATGGTCGGCTTGACTAGCACGCGGCGTGCGATGCGGTACCTCGGTCCCGAGCGGGCGATCATCCGATAGAGCGGGGGTAATGAACATCATATTGAGCTCTGTTTAAGCTTGAGGTTGGCCTTGAAGAATTCACAAATACCTATCGTGGGATAGGCGAGGGAAAAGTGGTGTTTGATGTTTCAATTGATGTCTAAATAAACTCTCCCTTGCATTAATCTGTATGTTGTACCATCACAGGTTTCGAATGTACCAGGTAGTTCGCTGCCAATTTATAGTCATACTAAACTATCGAGCTACCACTGCCCCTTTTAACCACCCAATATACCTCCCTGGTAGGACAGAGCCTGCTTGGAAAAAGGCATGGCGACATTTTCTAGAATGAAGGCAACGCTCCGCCACCCGTGACCTTCCAACGCCCTTTAACTATTGAGGGCAGTCCTCGAATCTACTTCGTTGGTTATCTCGTCGTCGATTGACCATGAACGAAAGCCATTTAGATATGGGAAATAATCCGTCAAATCTTCGAATGCTTATAGGCTGTTGATATCTTTTCTCGTTGAGCCTGGGTAGAGACCGTCGATGAGCATGTTGACAGCCCTGCAAACCTGTAGGTATATCCTTCCTCGCGATCTCCACCTAGCAACCCGGACCACATGCAGAATTGAACGGATGATATTTCGAGACGTTCAATATAATAATAATAACCTAGTCTGTAGATAATACATCACCTGTGAGTCTTAGTTGCATGGCTGAATTGGGAATGCAGTTGGTAACTCACATAGGGGCACCACAGGAACGGAACTGAACCTCGGGACAGAGCAGTGCGGCCTAGAACACCAACGGTTGCACCAGACCGTACCCCATATTCGACTAGTCCCATCTTTCTGACAAATCGAGAGTGGATCATTCAATTCATTTATTACTTTTTGTACTCCGTAGAGGAACCATTGAGAGCCTCGAAAATGGAGTGAAAACCCCCAACGAATGCGTGGACGCTTCACATGAACGGGGGAAGGATCCGCAGATCTCGGGGGTTTATCCTTATCAATCGAGCCTCGGGCCATTGACATCATTCAACCACGAACCACATAGCCCACTTGCTTACCACTAATGAACGGATGATCCGAAGGAGGAGCAACTCAAAAATGAACCAGGTTTAATAAATAATCTACCATTTCCATCTTCTTCCTTGTCAGACGTCTCAATTACACCCGACTCCTTGCTGCCTCGCAAAATGACTGACAACAACAAAGGCTGCAAGATCACGCTCTACTGGTTTGTCCTACCTTTCTAAACAACTTCCTCTGGTAACTAACACCTCGCAGGCTCGAGCAATCTAGAAGTCACCGCATTCTCTGGCTACTCGAGGAGCTCCAGTTGAAATATGAGCTAAAGACCTTCAAGCGTCGTGCCGACAGGCTGGCTCCAGCCGAGCTCAAGGAGGTGCACCCTCTGGGCAAGTCCCCCGTCATTACGATCGAAGCCCCAGGAGCAGAGAAGCCGCTGGTACTGGCCGAGTCTGGCGCCATCGTAGAGTATCTCTGCGACCACTTTGGCAGCGTGCGACCAACACTCGTGCCGGAACGCTATCAACCAGGCCGCGAGGGCCAAGTCGGCGGAGAGCGCGAGGAGTGGATCCGGTACCGCTACTTCATGCACTACGTGGAAGGCACCCTGATGCCATTCTTGGTGATGACTCTGGTCAACGATAGTAAGTCATATCTCTTGGCTCGACGCCCATATCGTATTTGCGCCTCGTATTCTTGCCAGCGACACCCGGAACCGAACCGAACCGAACCATCATGCTGACGTTCGTATCAAAGCCATCCGCAACTCCCCTCCCTTCTTCGTTCGCCCAATTACCGGCATCGTGGCTTCGCAGGTCGAGGCGGCTTTCCTGACTCGTAATATCGAGGGTAATCTCGCTTTCCTGGAGCAGCAGCTGCAGACGGCTCCGGATGGCGGCCCTTATCTTTGCGGGAAGGATCTGACTGCAGCCGACATTCTGATGAGTTTCCCACTCATCGCAGCTAGCGGCCGGGTTTTGAAGGACAAGAAGCAGAAGGACAAGTATCCCCTGCTGGCGGCCTATGCTAAACGTCTGGAGGAGGCTGACGGTTACAAGAAGGCCGTTGTAAAGATTGAGCAGATCGAGGGACATTTCTCGGCTTCTATGTAATACTTGGGTTAAGCTCTGGATGATTGTATTTGATGAACATGTTAGCTATAAATTGACCTAATTCTCCTATTTTATTCTGTGACATTTCCAAGCTATCATTTGAGAAATACCGGCTTTCTGATTCGCAGAGCATCTTAAGATGGAGGGGAGATGTTTGACGCAGGACTGAAATACTGGTGGCAAAAACATAGAGAAGGTGATTAGAGGATGCAAAGAGGAGGAATTTTAGCGATGATTCTCATATCGTGAATTCGACGAACTGAAATCATCTGCACTTTGGCAGTTTGGTGATGTTCTCCTGCCTCTCGAAAACCACGTGACTACACTGTAGGTTGCGAACAGTCGCGAATACTGCTTAGTAAATCATACCGCGCACCAATCGGATATCAACAAGTCTGAATTGCTACGATGCCCCTTTGCTAACAATTTGTATAGGCAAAAACATGACTAAGCTAGGCGGGTGTTTTAGTATTTCCTTTTCCCTAGGGATCCACCCATCCTGCTGTTCCGACACACCCCCTCAGCGATTAGCGAGTGTTGAATATCTTCGCTAGTGTTGAATTCAATCGAGATAAGCGCTGATCTCCTGCAGCAGGCCCTCTCTCTTCTTCTTCCTTCTCTACACCTCGATTAGGTGCTGTATATCCTCCATACGCATCAATTTGACGAAATCCTCGTGCTTCTAGCGCGGTAGGATCTTCGTGAGGCCATCTACTACCATCTTAGTAGTTAGAACCCATTTAACATCAATCCTGCCTGTGCTGATCTCTTGTCTCAACCAGTGTCCATGAATATCGACGTGACGAAGCTTCGTATCGATTTTAGCGTGCTCGGAGGTCAACAACGTAACGGTCTGTTAGTTATCGCATCGCAGGGTAATCGTATAGCTTAGTTTGAACGAGATTCGGTCGAGGAATCGCTTCCACTACTACAGCGAGCGTACAGCGTCTAACAAACTAAGTAGCTCAGCTTCAGTGGTGGATATAGTGATAGTAGGCTTGTGAGATATAGGGCAGGATGTTATCAAGCCAGACCGCCATGCAAGACATACAAGCAAGATTCAATACAATCAACCAAGCTTCAGTCCTACTTTACTTTTCTCTCATCTTTATGATTCTAAGCCGAATTGAACTTATCCTTCCTATTCAATCAAGAGGAAGAAAGATCAATCGATCTTATTTAATCATCTTTAATTTATCTTCCTCTTTACCCAACCTGCGCAGCATCGCTTGCTCACAGGTTATGAGCCCGAATTGATCCTACTTCAATTCGGCTTATACCACTTCTTCAATCTTCTATCTTCAACGAAGAATCCTTTACTTTTAAGAGAAACTTCTCTCTCTTAAAGAGAAACAAAAAGCTCCTCCGACTTCTTATTTTCAAAAATTTATACTCGATTTTTACCGGTCGCGTCTACTTCTCTATACGAAAACTAAGAAATCTCAACTTTCTTGACAAAAACAATCATTTTTCAAATATTCAATCAAGTTTTTTGAACTCAAAATGATCAACAAACACAATATCGATCCTCTCAAAGGAGAAGGAAATTATGTTGCCTGGTCTATCCGAATCAAGGCAATTCTTGATCAAGAGAGACTGATCGATGCGATTCTACATGATTACACAAAGCTTCCTGCTATTCAGCAAGGCCAGATTCCTAATCAACACTGGTCTTATGAAAAAGCAATTGCTCTACCACCTGATCAACGATCACCTGATTGCAGAAATACTGCGATTTGGTCAGGAAGAAGATCTGGTAGACCTACAAGATCTACTAGCCCTGCTGAGATAGGCCAAAATGAGCTAGTTATTCCATCTGATAAATTCAAAACTATTGATCAGATGAATCGAGACGCTCTATCATCAATCAAGCTATCATGCAAAGATGGCCCACTCTTTTGGTTAGGAGATACCACATCGGCCTACCAAGCATGGGTTACCTTGGCTACCCAATATCGACCTAAAGGCTTTACTACCGAATTCCTTGTGTTGAAAAGCCTATTCAATAGTCAATTAGGCGATTTCGATAGCATGCATGATTATCTCACTGAGATAAGACGCCTGCTAATCGAACTGGCAAGCCTAGGAATCGATTTCCCAAAGCAAATCGTATTCGCATGGGTTCTCAACAATCTTGACCAATCATACGCACCGATTATTCAAAATATTATTCAATCTCTTCGCAGAGACTCTGATTCTTGTACGATTGAATCGTTATTCGCCAATCTGATTGACGAATCGCGTGGTCATATTCAATCAAGCGAACAAATCTTCATAGCTGATAGCCATCAGCCTAATCGACAGAACAAATATCAGGCTCATCGCAAGCCTAATCATCAGGTAAAGCACTATTCAAAAAATCGTCAGGCTAATCAAAATCGTCGAATTAGCAAAAAACCATGGAAAAAATTGTCAAATTCTGGCAAATACTGTACGCATTGTAATATGCGAAGCCATACAGTAGCAGATTGCTGGTATCTGCATCCTTCTGGCAGACCAGCTAATTGGATACCTAGGGCAAATTGGCCTAGATCCAATCAAAATAATCAAAGATTTAATCAACAAAAGAAGATGATCACAGCAATGCTCAATGAGCAATCTGACGAGGAAGAAATCCACGTCACTAGTCATGTGACAGATTACCCCGCAGAAGCTGAACATCAAGAAACCTCGGCTAGCAACCTACTGCCTACTAGCCTATTGGCTAATGATCCAATTGATCTTGACGGTGATATCTGTTATACACCGATTAGTCCAATTGACTATCGATCAGATTATCAGATAGAATCTGATATACCCATGACAGAGGCACAGCCAATCAGGCATGGCCTACCAATCTTTGATGATCAAAACCTGATAAGAGACTACTCAAATCTGAGTAATGAATCTATGGTGAATACACCAAGAAGTCTCTCACTCTGCGATGAGTTCTCGCATGAAACCGATCAGGTAATTTATCTACCTATCAAAACAAACCAAGAAACCAATTCTGATATCACTATAGAAAGTGCATATAATCTGATAAATTCAGATCTTTCTACTACAAAAGTGATTTTCATTATTGATACAGCTGCCACTATATGTGCAGTATCTAAATTGGATTTGTTTGATAGTGTATATAAAACTAATAAAACTGTCATGTGGGGAAATGCACAAAGATTATCTATCGATCTTGCTGGAGATATTATCTTCCAGACAAATACCAATCTAGTCTATAAATTGACTAATGTGCTCTATGTCCCACAATTGGGAATCAATATATTAAGCACACATGCACTGAAAAATTCAGTATCTCTATTTAATAGCGAAAAGGCCACTATTTTCGATCAATATCGAAATATTATGCTGATTGGGCATAAGCAAGATAATCTATATCGAACTACCCTATATGTGATGCATACAAAGCCACATAAGGTAGATTCTGATCAAAAAATCGATCAAGATCAATCTATCCAAAGTACTAGCAATATTACTAGTTTAAAACTTTGGCATGATAGATTAGGCCATATAGGCCTAATACCACTACAAAGGCTACTAAGCCAGGCCGATATATCTCTATCTGATACTGAGATAAGAGATTATATGCAAGATATATGCGAAATATGCATACAGTCAAAATATGACAGGAAGATCAATAAATCTTCTACTTCTGCTGCCGAATACGGCATAGGCGAAAGAATACATAGCGATATTGGAGGGCCTATTAGCCCTAAGACCTATAATGGCTATCGCTACTACATCACGTTTCTTGATAAAACATCAAGATATCTACATATATCTCTACTTCGATCAAAAGACGAAGCTATTAAGAAATTTACCTTATATAAGCAATTGGTTGAAAACCAGCTTAATAAGAAGATCAAAGAGATATTTACCGATAACGGTACTGAATACGTGAATGATAACTTCCATATATTATTAGGAAGATACGGTATTATACACCGAACTACGCCTATCTATACAAAAGAGCCAAATGGCCTAATTGAGCGCATAAACCTGACACTTATGAACAAGGTCAGATGTTTATTAATCCAATCAGGATTAAAAGAAGATATGTGGGGAGAAGCCTTATTGGCTGCTACCTATCTATATAATATAACCCCACACAGTGCTCTAGGGTTCAAATCACCCTATGAGATATATCACAAGCGCTTACCTGCTATCAGGCATATAAAGACCTGGGGATCTATTGCCTACTATCATACAAACAAAAACCTGCCTAGCAAGCTATCGCCAAGAAAATCTATAGCTATTGTTATTGGCTATAGTGAGCAGAAGCACTATAAGCTATATGATCTGAAGCAGAAGAAGACAGTTTGGTCAAGAGACCCTACTATCTTAGAAGGTAGATTCCTGAAGAATCAATCTGATCTAGCCAATCAGGAACCAGGAATCAAGAAAAGATCTGCTAAACAAGCAGCAAACCCTATCAAAAAGAAGATTGCTAGATATACTAGCAAATCTACTAGCCTATCTACTAGCAAATCAGCTAGTAAAGAAACTAGCAAATCAGCTAGTAAGCCTACTAAGCAAACTGCTAGTAAGGAAGCTGCTATAGCAGCGGATCCGTCTCATAAGATAGAGATCCAAATCCCATCATTAAAATCTACCAAAGATAGCGAAGATATATATACTATATCAGATACGCTACTAGGAGATTTTATAAAGACTATTATCAACGATCAGCCTACCGATTATATATTATCGGCAGGAACTGATCAAGAACCCTCTACCTTTGATCAAGCTATGCAATCAGCTGAAAGGAATGAGTGGTATAGGGCCTGTCAGGACGAAAATCAAAGCCTGATAGATCAGGCAACCTATGAAATCGTTGATATACCCCCTGGTGTAACACCTATTAGGGGCAGATGGGTATTCAAAAAGAAGCCTATAAAGAATGCCACAGGCATCCAGGCTAATTATATTACTAATGCGAACAAAACGATTCGCTATAAGGCTAGATGGGTTATACAAGGATTTAATCAACGATTAGGTGTTGA